CGACAAAACAACGAAGATACGGAAATTATCAATTAAAAAATTTATGCATCGAAAATCCGTTTATAATTTACCTACGGATTTCTGACAGATTTCGAAAACCGTAAGTGATTACTATGGATTGAGAAATTATCAATTCAAACAATAATATTAAAATATCAATCRGTAATTATCGATGAATATTTTAAATTTAATTTAAATTTTTAAAAACTCCATGATTAAAAAATTAATTAAAATATTGGTGATTACCAAAGGATATTGTAATAATTTTTATTTTTTGATAGTTATTTTGATGTATAATTATGTATCATTTKTATAACTTAATATACATGAATGCATTTCAATTTTACTCTATGGAAGTGTGTCTATATTTGTGTGTGTATAGGTTAGTACATGGATGTATAACTACTTTTTGACATCGTGCATTGCACGATAATAATATATTTTATTAAATTATTGAAGTCAGTTAAATGAGTCGATGATCATATTTATATATTAAACTAATAAAAATCAATATTACCTTTGACATATGAACCCACCTTATCATTATTGGTTGTTTATATATATATATATATATATATATCAATCTTTTATCATATCAAACTTTGTAATTGGTCCAAAATCATAAAAAGAATATGTGAAAAAAATGATTATAATAATATGGTGTGTTATGAGAATTGTTTTATCATAATACATATTAATTTATCTCCTACATATATTCTCATAAAATATTTATATTCACTAAACAAACATTGTGTTGTTACCTACTTTAATATAATTATTGAATATTTTTGCAATTTGCTTATATTAGTTCATGATATACTCATGTAATCTTTCATGGGCCAGAAACCTCATTGAAATATATTTTTTTTTCAACATGCGATTCCACAAAGTGGGACAATAATAACTAGTATTATGATCACTCCAGGTACATWAGAGTTTGATTGATTTGTTATTTTTTCATTTGACTTGTCAAAAAATTTAGCTTTGTTTTAGACAGTTCATAGTTTGTTTTCTCTGTAAAAAAATCCTGAAAAATGAGGTTTTTAATAAAATTATTTAAATAAAAGATATGTATTATATTGATTATAGTATTAATTATATATAGAGTTTGATTTTAGATTAAATAAAAAATTGATTATATATATATATATATATATATATATATATATATATATA